ATAGTAAAGAGGGATGTGAACCACAGAGTGCTTCTCCCCAGTCAAAAGAACAGCAGGGAGATGCCAGAGGCTCCCCAAAGCAGGACTCACCTTGTATTCATCCATCTGAAGACAGTATGGATATGGAGGACAGTGATATTCAGATTGTTAAGGTAGAATCTATTGGGGATGTATCAGAGGTTAGAAGTAAAAAAGATCAGAACCAGTTTATTTCTTCTGAACCCACTGCTTTACATTCATCAGAGCCCCAGCACTCCCTGATAAATTCAACTGTGGAAAACAGAGTAAGTGAAATAGAACAAAACCATCTCCACAATTATGCCCTCTCTTACACAGGCAGTGATAACATCGTCTTGGCCTCCAAAGATGTCTTTGGGCCTAATATTCGAGGTGTAGACAAAGGCCTACAGTGGCATCATCAATGCCCAAAGTGTACCAGGGTGTTCCGTCACCTGGAGAACTACGCCAATCATTTAAAAATGCACAAACTCTTTATGTGTCTACTCTGCGGCAAGACTTTTACTCAGAAAGGCAACCTTCATCGACACATGCGTGTACATGCCGGCATTAAACCTTTCCAGTGTAAGATCTGTGGGAAAACCTTTTCTCAGAAGTGTTCCTTACAGGATCATCTTAACCTTCACAGTGGAGATAAGCCCCATAAGTGTAACTATTGTGACATGGTTTTTGCACATAAGCCAGTTTTGAGGAAACACCTTAAACAGCTGCATGGCAAAAACAGCTTTGATAATGCCAATGAGAGAAATGTGCAAGACCTCACAGTGGATTTTGATTCTTTTGCATGTACAACAGTCACAGACTCTAAAGGGTGTCAGCCACAGCCTGATGCAACACAGGTCCTGGATGCAGGTAAACTGGCCCAAGCTGTCCTGAACTTAAGGAATGATAGTACTTGTGTGAATTGAGTAGGGGCTTTATGCTCAAAACTAGAGCTGACTGCAAACGTGGCAATAGTCTGAGTCTTTTTAGGAGTGATTTTGCTAGTTTGACTTCTCCAAAGCCTCTGTGCAGGTTGTAGGAGTAAAGCAAAGTACTAAGAGACCAGGCAACTCACCACTTGGAGTGGGAGTGGTCAGTCTTGCCTGCCTTTTGCCCTCTCCCATTTTCTGTTTTGAATTATCTTGTGACGTCTGTCTTCCTTTCCCAAGGACTATTCCATTTGTCTACCTAATATTGACTTATGTTTTAGATTGACACTATTTTAGGCTTTTCACTGGGCACATTCTGAAGGTGCCAACAAGTTAATAACATCGCCTGCACTCCACTAATGGCTGCTATGCTAAGAGAAGTGGATAATATTTTTCTTTGGCAGGAAATAGGCTGAGATATAAAGTAATATTGCTGTTGGCCTGAATATGTGATAGAACTTACGGCTGCCTATTGATAATTCATCTATGTCTGGTCAGATGAATGAATGACTCTACTTTCTACTGTTTGTATTTTTCTTGGAGCTGGCTATAAAGAAGTATTTTGGGTTGTTTGGCACTCTTTTCAACAGTATTAAGGCCCATGGCCCAACTTCACATCACTGAATTGCTCACATAGACCAGAGTACAATCTTTTCAGCAACACCTGCAGACATAGTGAGGTATCACCATGAGGAGCATAATCAACAAAGGATAGAAGGACAGTGTACAACAGTTTTACATGGAAAGTCTGCCTCTGAAGAAGCCAAATGCTTATAATTAATGTGTAACTTATTTGTTGATGCTTTTTAAGTCAGGATGGCTCCAAGCATACTTAAAATGTGCTAAAATATAATAGTCTCTCTAAAAAGAAGCTATTTGGGAGTCAGTCTTTGAACTCCTTTAGAGGTTAGCTATCAGAGAGGTGTTTAGCCATCAGAAAGGTGTTTAGCCATCAGAAAGATGTTTGGCCTTCAGAGTTTTGTCCAGTGTACGCTAAGAGTCTCTGAATTCTCATGTACCTTAATTTCTCAAGTGGATAAAAAAAAGTGGGTCACGGAATGAGCAACCAGGCTTTTGTATCCAGACATTCCTATAGTCCCACCTTGCCATGTCTGATAGATCACTAATATGAAGTTGATCTCCCAGTTTGGTAAAACAGAATAACTGTTTGTCCTAAAGCACATGTTATAGTTCAGAAATAAAATTTTGAGTCTTATTAGTTTCTGACCCATGAGTTAGATATAGGTAGTAGAAGTGTTAGAGTACTTACAGAGTCTTAAGAGATCATTTACTCCACCTTTTTTTTTTTAAGTTGGGGTATCCAAAGCCCAAAGAGGTGGCCTGGCCAAGGTTGGCCAAAGAAGATAAGTGACTAAATATGAGCTAATGTCTCCATTTCTTCTCACTACCCCTGGCTTAAAAATATTTAGTACATGATCAAGAATACATTAACCAAAAGCTCACCTTTGTGAATCCCTATTGGCTTTCTAAGACAGCCTGGATTTTGCAAACAAAATATCACAGATGGATTTACTTTTGTTAGTATTTTTTAGTTAGAATATTACATTCTTTTCATGAAAGTGACATATGCTGGGTATTGATTAGGGAGGGAAAGGACAAGTAAGAATAAGTGTGAGAAGGATCTAAATGTGAAACTGATTTTGTCTGGAAACAGTGTTCATTTAATTTCCATCAGGATTTTCTGTTTTATTTTTGAGCTGTGAGAGTGCATATACAGATAAACCAAAAATTAGGTTTAACTTGAGTAGTCAGAGGGGATTCTTAAAGTTGTTATAATTTGATACATTTACATGTGAATCTGATTTGAGGTATGATTTCTACCCTTTGTTAAAGATTTAAAATGAGAATAAAATTGAGTGATAAGACTAATAGGTATCTTATGCCTAAGGTCACACATTATATGGTCTAATGATGCTGCCTAGCATTCTGATTTTTATATGACCCAGCCAAAGAATACCAATTCTATGCAATAGTGAGACACTACCATGTTAACCAACAATTCACTATTTCCCTTGAACATCATTTCATCACAGAAATTTCATGTTGGAGTGCTTCCTTTGCTTATATTCGTGCCTTTTTTGTTACTGGTTTGAAGACTAAAAGGCATGCTTTCAAAATAGATTGGTCTCTTTGGTTGGAGACTATTTCTGGGTTCATCTAGTCATTCAAAAACCATTTCTTGAGCACCTACTCTTGCCAGGCACTATGCTAGATGAGGAGGCTATGAAGGTAAGATTGTAATGGTCCCTGCTCTCACAGAGCTTACAGTTTCATGTAGTCTTAGGGAGCTAAGGTATCGATTTGATTTTATACTAGGAATAATAAAGGAAACTACCTTGCTTTTTTTGATCACTTAAACCCAGCATCTTGATGGTTTTATATCAGTAAAAGCTATAGTTCTCACCTTTTGTACTGCAAACCACTGAAGTGATTTACAGTCTCCTCCATCTTTTGGCTGGGGAGGTGTTCTGTTTCTGTGAGACATTTTCTTAATTTTGGTGGGATTTGACTTTTCTCCTTCTTTGTTTATACATATTTCTTGTATTGTATTGCAAGGTGGTCAAGTTATTGATATAAAATAAGTTTTATAGAGGAAGATTTTTAAAAACCTTAGTTTTTCAGCATTTGTATTTTATGGATCCCCAGGATAACTAAAAAGGGGAGAACACTCCCTTTACCATAGTTTGTTTTTTTTTAAAAAAAAAAATAAAAATACTGTATCACAGTTATTTATTTATTATTTAATTTTAAAGACAAACTCCAAACCGAAGTGGCTCTGAGGTAAATCAGATGTGGTTTTAATTTGTTTTAGTTTCTTTTTTAGAAAATCTGTAAGTGGAGGGTGACCAGTGTCACCACTTTTAAATATTGTCCTAAACAAACAACCGAGAACATTTTATTTCAGCTGGTGAATAGCTGTTCTAAACCTGTTGTATGTTAGACATACTATGAACTACCTCTTCACTTATTATGGGGAAGTTTCCTTAATAAAAGTGTGACAATTAAAGCTCTGGTGTGAGTGGTTTATTTTCTCTCCCCTCCTTTTCTTTTCAGTTGCTTGCATTTGAATACAAGAATGCTTTCTTCGTTCCTATTCTTTAAAACACTATTAATCAAATATGCTGAGCTTGGTTTCAGAAGTAAATACGGGTTAACAAAAAAGTGCTACTAGGGTCAGTTACTTCCATGAGAGCCTGTCTAGGGGGTAGAGAAACTGCTTTTAATAGCTGGTTCAGACATTCCTTCATTTGGCAAATACTTGGATGCCTGCTCAGTGCTAGACTTGGGGAATGCAAAGATCAGCAAGGCACTGCTCTAAATGCCTCTGCCTAGCTGGGACACAGACTTCAACACTGGAATGATAATCGCAGTAATGAAGGCAGCCAAAGGGTTGACTTGACGGGCTCCCAACTAGCGCCAGCTAATTAAGGGCAGTTCACGGTGGCTTTAAGGATGAGGGTATTTTGAAGGATAAATGGGAGGAGGGACCGGGCCTACGACGGAAACAGGAGTACCCGCAGTTCGGAAGGAAGGCCTGGGTTTGCGCGGGAACGTGAGCGGGGTGGGGGTGGCAGTGATGAGGCAGCGAGAGCTTAAAGGAAGAGCGATCCGGAGGTTGGGGCCTGATCCTGATGGGGCATTAGCTAGGCAATCTCGAATACTGAGCCCCCTGGCAGTCTCCTTTCCTCCGCCACCTTTTTAAATTGTAGGTGGCCCAATAAAGGAGAGGACCGGGCCCATATTAATCCGTGAGGGCCTCCCAGTGGTCCCGGCGCCGGGTCCTGTGACAGCCTCGCTGTACCCCAACTTCACAACCCGTCTGCGACATGGAGGTTGGGGAGAACTCACGGAGGGCAATGGCCCGCGAGCCGACACTGGGATAGGAGAGAAGGGAGTTGCGGGAATGCGGGCGTCCGTCAACCCGCGGGGCGGGGGCGTGAGGATGGGAGAAGATCTCAGGATGTCCTTCCGGGACTCCCAGGCCGCCCGGGCGGAAGAAAGCTCCTTGGCACCGGATGTGCTTCCTCCCAGGCTAAGCCCACCTTCCGGTCGGGGCCGCTGCCGCCGCGGAAACCTGGGTTCTGGTTTTCCGAGTGGGTGAGTGAGCGCCGGGGTCACTCGGACAGGTGGACAAGCCGAGGAGGAGGGCAGCTGGGCGCCGCCCGGGAGTGCTGAGCAGGTCCTGCAGCCAGCTGGGCCACAGGGCCTTAGCCCTGAAGGCTGGGCTCGGGAAGACCTGTGGGGAGCTGGCGGATCTTCCCAGCCACCGGGTATCTGGATTCAGTCCGACACATGTACCCTAAGCTGCCCCCGCTCCGCGCTGGGCCCTAGTGCTCGCTGCAGGAGCTCAGATGAACCAGGCACGATTTCGTGATGCTCTGGACAACTGACTCTTACGGGGGAGACAGAAGTCGTCGTCACAGAAGTCTTACTTGATTTGGGCCTTAAAGGAGCCAAATCACTAGTTGGAAAAAGTAACTGGCAGCGCGAGTGTAACACGTGCAAGGGTGCATTCGAGTCTTCTCCCCTGGGCAGTGGTGAAAATCTGAACTTCGAAGGAGCTTCTATGGAAAAGAGTAGAGGAAAGAAAGCTATGAAGGTGCTTAGGGCCAAGTAACGAAGGATCTTTTATTTGCTAAGAAGGTTTGGCTGTCCTGTAGGTAGAGGAAAGCAGAAGACAGAGGGGAAAAAAGAAAAGTTTTAAAAGATGTCAATTCTGGTGGCATTCAGGAGGGTAGTTTGGAATATAGGAGACTGGTTTCAAGGAGAACTGTTGGAAGACATGGCAATGGTCCAGGTGAACAGGGTAGAGACCTACAGTAGTGATGGGGAGTCCAAAGTTTGGAGAGTCTGTTAAGGTTTCTAATATGGGAAACTGTTAAATCCACTTTAGTAGTGTGCATTAACACCACAAGCCACATAAATTTAGCCAAGGAGAAAAACATAGGAGTTCTTAAGTACAATTAAATATAATAAGTGCTGTAACAAAAATATGAAAAATGTGCCACAGATCATAGAGAAATTCACTTTAATTTTCTGGGTTTTAAGATGGTGGAATAGTAGTTCACTCTTAGCACCCAGAATAGAATTTTAGTATTCTTTTCCCCAATTTAGGTTTGGGATTTTAAAAAGTTGTTTGTTTTTACTATCTCAGTATAGGAATGCATTCCCTATCCATACATCAATGTTTGTATTTTATTCTGCTTAGATTGTGACCATGGCTGCGGAGTCTGATGTCCTGCACTTCCAGTTTGAACAGCAAGGAGATGTAGTCTTGCAGAAAATGAATCTCTTGAGACAGCAGAATTTATTTTGTGATGTGTCAATTTATATTAATGACACCGAGTTCCAGGGGCACAAGGTGATACTAGCTGCTTGCTCCACCTTCATGAGAGATCAGTTTTTACTTACGCAGTCAAAACATGTCAGAATCACCATCTTGCAGAGTGCAGAAGTTGGCAGAAAATTGTTACTCTCTTGCTATACTGGAGCACTTGAAGTTAAAAGGAAAGAGCTTTTGAAATACTTGACTGCTGCTAGTTACCTTCAGATGGTTCACATTGTGGAAAAGTGTACAGAAGCTTTGTCAGGATACCTGGAAATTGATCTTTCTATGAAAAACAACAATCAACATACCGACCTGTGTCAGTCCTCCAACCCAGATGTTAAGAATGAAGAAGAAAATACAGATAAAGACTGTGAGATAATCGAAATTTCAGAAGATAGTCCTGTAAACATAGATTTCCACGTTAAAGAAGAGGAAAGCAATGCTTTGCAGTCTACAGTAGAGAGCTTGACATCAGAGAGACAGGAAATGAAGTCACCAGAGCTTTCTTCCGTCGATATAGGTTTTAAAGACAATGAAATTTGTATCCTCCATGTGGAATCTATCAGTACTGCTGGCGTAGAAAATGGGCAGTTTTCACAGCCTTGTACCTCTTCAAAAGCAAGCATGTATTTTTCTGAAACACAGCATTCACTCATCAATTCTACGGTTGAGAGCAGAGTGGCAGAAGTTCCTGGGAATCAAGATCAGGGCTCATTTTGTGGGAATGCTGAAGGAAGTCATGGTACAGCTAATGAGATTCAGAATCTGGAGGATGTTTATTCACTTAGACACCAGTGCCCCAGGTGTCCACGAGGATTTCTTCATGTTGAAAACTATTTGCGCCACCTAAAGATGCATAAACTGTTCTTGTGCTTACAGTGTGGGAAAACATTTACACAGAAGAAAAATCTCAACCGGCACATTCGAGGGCACATGGGCATACGGCCCTTTCAGTGTACTGTGTGCTTGAAGACATTCACTGCTAAAAGCACGCTGCAGGACCACTTGAACATACACAGTGGGGATCGGCCATACAAATGCCAGTGTTGTGACATGGATTTCAAGCACAAATCTGCTCTCAAAAAGCATGTAACCTCTGTCCATGGCCGGAGCAGTGGTGAAAAAATACCCATTCATGATCTCAAAAGGCAAAATCTATTATAATTAGAATCTCACCTTGCTGTGGAAGCCAGATGTTATTCTGTTAGGGAAGTCTTTCTATAGAAATGCACCACTCGTGATATTGCATTTCCTCCTTATCTTTGGGTCTTATTTTTGGTCTGCCTACACATTATTCTTTCTGAACTTAGATACTATGAGTTCCAAAGTGTGGGAGACGTGATAAAGCTGATGGAGTGCTCTCTCATGTCGTGTATTATATAAGTCCCAGTGGTATACCTACAGAGATACTGTTCCCTTAAATATTTTTGATTCCAATGACAGAGGTTCCAACAGTGTTTCCATATTCGGATTTTAACTCTAGATAATTGATGGAAGTGTAAAATAATCTAACCATGTAATAACTTTAATTAATTAGGATAATGGGAAAAGAAAATCAATTTTAAAACACCCTATTATCCATTATTAATCATCACTTTAAGAACAGATAGGACAGGTAAATTTTTTAACCAACTGGTTTGTGATTGTAAACTAAACACCAAGGTACCTGTTGTCTTAAAATGTAAAGGAACACAATTCATATTCACTTGGGAGTAGCAGAATTTTCTTATACATTTCTTAAAATGCTATTTCCATGACTTGTTAATATATATATTTTATAAATTATTAATTAGGCTCAAATGTCTTGATTTTATTTAATGCAGTGGCATCTATTAATTTTGTGGCCAGTAAAATTAAACCATTGGCTTGAAGCTCTAAAAAATTACCTTTTTAGAAATCCTGACCTTACCAAAGATATTTGTTCTACCCTTTTCTTTTTAAAATTTATTTATTATTTTTTAGTTAACATATAGTAAATTGACCTTTGTCAATTTTGTGTCTATGTAATAGAAATGGTGTGCTGAAAACATTTGTAACAGACATCTTTGAGGTCATCAGAGAGAGGAACACTTCCCATATCTAGCTGCTTCTCATTGCTCGTTTCCTTTTTTGAACAGTAATGCCCTCTGCTAAATGATTTGTTTTTGGTATACAGCTTCATGAATTTTAACACATGTATAGATTCGTACAACCACCACTGTAATTAGGATACAAAGCATTCCATCACCCCCCAAATCTCCCTTATGCTGCCCTTTTGTCGTGAGTTCCTCCTCCTAACTCTAAAGCTTGCCAACAATTCTCCATATCTATGTTTCTGGAATGTCATAAATGGAATCTGATAACGTGCCCTTTTGAGATGCTTCTTTCACCTAGTATTATGCCTTTGAGATTGATTCATCCATGTTGTGTGTGTCAGTAGTTCATTCCTTTTTATTCTGGATTGTCAATACATGTTAATTTTCTTTTTTTAAAATATATATATCTTTATTGATTTCAGAGAGAGGAAGGGAGAGGGAGAGAGGTAGAAATATCAATGATGAGAGAGTCATTGATTGGCTGCAGCCCACAACCCGGGCATGTGCCCTGACTGGGAATCAAACCCTAATCTCCTGGATCCTAGATTGACACTCAACCACTGAGCCATGCCCAGGTGGGCAACATGTTAATTTTCTTGCTATCACTAGATGAACAGTTTTAACATGGGTACCTATTAGTGTTCTCTTAATTATTAATAACTTTTCATTAACATTAATTCCATTTTCATTTACTATGTGTTGACAAAAATCTTAACCATCTTTAGAGTTTTATGCTATATTTCCAGAAATGTGCCAAAAGCATAACCATGAACATATTGAGAGTAATATTTCAGATTGTGTTATGAGTCATTGCTCTCTAACATCCTTGTCTACATATAACAAGTTTTTTTACCATAACACAGATTAAAGTATTTGGCAGAGCAAATCATATTCTCTAAAAGACAGGAACCACTTGTAATAAAGAAGCCTGGCTGCATGCATCTTACTTTCAAGATATTCTATTCCTTTTTTACCCACCTCGGCTTTATTTAGTCTCTGTTGAAGCCCTTCCATATTTTAATATGTAATATACTTTGTACCATTTATAAGAATTTTGAGATGAATCACATGTTGGTTGTTATAAATGTTAATTATCTTTTTTGGTGATACTTGTTAAGAATGTATTTTCTATAGAATTTTAACTCTGGGAGAGACTTTAAAGAATCCAGCTCTCAAATTTGATAAGAAACCCAACTTTATGCTCCCCACCAGGTCACCATTTAGTATCATTGGACAGGTCACCTCTTCTTGAGCTCTTAAATTTATATGCAAAATAACTTTGATCTTGATAATTTGTGACATCATTTCCAGGTCTAAAATTCTGTGATTTCATATTTAAATCTAGCAGAGTTCCTAAGAACAGGGAAGAGGGGAAAGCAAAAAAGGAGAGTTTGGTGTCTGTGAATGTTGCTGTTTGTTCATCCCATTGAAGACAGAATTTTTCTAAAGCTAATAGTTTTTTCTTCCACTGGAGAACATGATAGGGCAGTGCTCAAATTTCTGTCCCATTTGATCTATGATTGGCATGAAAACATTTTTCTTTCAGAATAGTTTGTGACTGAAATATTTTTTTTGCTTTCTAGGGTGAAATTTTGTCGGGGAGGGATGCAGATAGTGGTGGGTGAACAAATAGTAGTAAACTTTTTTTGTTTCTGTTTTTTAGGAATTATCTTTGATGTTTAAAAAGAATTATGGTTGACCTATGTTTAAGTTTTATGTGTGCCTTGTAAGATTCTTGTGAAATATTTTGTAAGCACTTTGAAATTTTTGCGTGGGGGGAGGGGTGTTTTGTGAAAATAATGGTTGTTATTTATTTATTTATTTCTGTTCAGTTAGCACAGAGTGATCTCAGAACATTTCTAGGAGAATGGATGTTTGCATGATGTGCTTAAACAGTTTCAGGAAAATGAAATATTTTGAGATGCAGGTATGACAAAGTAAAGTGTTGAATTTATTCATTTAAACATTCACTTTTAGTTTGTATTTCGATATGATGGGGAAAATGCAATATGTTTGCCTTTAGCCTCTTCATTTACTGCATTTTTGTATAAAAGATCTTGGAAAGGTAGTTGTTACTTTGGTGTAAGAGAAAATCCTTTCCCTTTTTCCTTGGATGTAACTATCCTATACGTTTACATAAGAAATAATAAACTGAAAATGGGAATGGAGAGCTTTGTGTTTTGTCTATATCTATAAATTTTAAATAAGGAAACTATTTCTCCTGGCTATCCATTTAATCATGCATGTAACAAATATTTATTATAGAGTCCTTACAATATCTAGAAGTTAGGTATACCAACAAAAATCCCTGCTTTCATGAAACTGAAAGTCTAGTGGAGGGAGACAAATGTAAAGAAATAAGTAAAATTAATGTATGTCAGATTTTGGAAATAGAGTTGGAGAAAATTAAGTAGGGAGTTCCAGGGAAGGGGAATTCTGATTGTAATTCTAAATATAGTGAATGGTCAGGCCACCTTTGAAAAAATTTTATCAGATCATCATGTACAACTGTCCAGTAAAATGGAAAACACATATATATGTACATACGCATGTGTATGTGTATATATGTGTGTGTATATGTGTGTGTATACACACACACACACACACACACCCCCATCACTATCTAGTTGAGTGGACAGCTGAGCCACATGAGCCATTGCTGGGAACTCTTCTCTAGGACTGGCATATACTTCATAAAAGATGAAAAGGACAAAAATGTACCGGAGAAAAGTCTTTGATGTGGCCATTGAATATTTTTTTAAAAACACACTGATGTTTTTCACTTTCCAAACAGTAATAACCATATTTATTTTTAAGCTCATTATAGTTTATAAAGTACTTATCCATATGTCTTCTAGTTCATGGTGGGTTTACTTCCATAGATGCTTTTGTTGGACATCTGGTTTCACATTGGAAAGTGCCTTGAGTTTAATTACAATTCATGGCCATTTTCTTAATCTCTGTTTTCAGTTTCTCATCAGGAACAAAGAATACATACTATCTGCCTTTTAGGATTATTTTGACAAGTAAATGAAATATAAAAGTAAAAATAGTAAAAACGAAAATTTTATTAACACAGGACCTGGCACATTGTAAGTAGCCTATAAATATTAATTCCCTTATCCCTATTCCCAGACTACTCTGATATAAAAACAGTGAGAATAATTTCTACCTTGCAGTTTACTGTGAAAAAACCCTGCAACAAATATTTACGTAGTTAATAAGGCCAGAATTTGTGCTTGAATTTTGATGCCTGCCAGCTTCTGAGAAGCTCAGTTTTCTCTTTAGTAAAGAGGTAAGCATGTTATTGCCTGCCAAACAAATACTCTCTCTTTTTAAAAAGAGGTTGCTTGGCACCTAGAGGCATTGAGGGATGGGGTCAGCATTTGAATGTGGGAGCGTGATTAGAATGTAACACCCATGTAGCAGATTATGTTAAATGGATACCATGGTTTTCACGAGGGCAGTCAGTCAGACACTGGCTCAAACCAATGTCCAAGGGGCTGGCTCACAGAGCCGATGAATGTGCAGGGAGTTTCCCATAAACCCCTTCGGCTTGCCTAGGCAGCCTAAAAGCACCTCCCACAGTACTCCGGGTCTCCCTAGTCACGTGACGAGGGTGGTTCGGCTCCACCAGAGGGAAGCTAGTGCGCAGTCCAGGTGGCAGGGGCTACAACGCTTCTCTTCCACCGCCCCTACTCCCGGTCTTGTGTGGTCTCGCGTGAAGTGGGGAGTATCTTCTCGCGAGAGTTAGGTCAGGATCCCTCCAGGTCCGCCTCCGTGGTGAGGAGGAGGAGGAGGAGGAGAAGAGAGGGAGAGGGAGGTGGAGGGAGGAGGAGGAGGAGGCCCGGTTGCGGCCTCCGCCGCCGCCAACGGGGCTGTCCCTGTAGCTCCCGATGGAGTTTGAAGCCGTGAAACCGCCGCCGAGCTCTGCCCCGGCGAGACGAGGCGCTTCTGTCGCCGAGCCGCGCCGTCGCGGGGCTCCCGGGAGCGGCCCTTAGCGACCCCGCCCGGGCCCCCACAGGTAGGGCGGGGGCGGGCACGATGCGTCTCGGGCCCCAGTCCGGGTCTCTGGTCCCCGGCGGTCGGGCGGGGGACCTGTCTCAGCCCGGGGCCTGTAAGCTGTCGTTGCCGGTGCCTGGAGGGCTGGGAACTGAGGGCCGCACCTGACACCCGGACCGGGAGTCTGGGGACCGAGGAGGCCCCTCTCCTTGGTCGGGCTTTTTCAATACCGAGGCCTGGCGCAAATGGCCACCTCCCTTCGACTCCTGTCGAGGGGACGCCTCTGACCCCTAAGGAATCCACCCAAGCAAGGGCCAGGCTTCCCTTTCCTTTCTACACCAGTTAGTAAGAGGGGGTTTGGAGGAGGTTCTCGGAACCAAGTCCTCGCCTAGCTTTTCGGCTTTCTGCCCTGGGGCTTCCCAAGATCCTAATGCAGGGATGGTGGAGGCGATCTGAGTGGTAAATAGGGACCCTGGCCAAACAATGCCCTGGGAGGGCTTAACCTCCTGGGAGGGAGACGGCCGGGACGGGGTGGTTGCAGAGTGGATGTGACGGAGCACTGGCTTGAAACGGAGCCGGGGAATTCTGCTACGGCTTTCTTCTTCCCCTCTTTCATTTTTCCTTCTTGGGGAAGCCTCTTAAGGGGAGACTCTTCCACCATCTTAGAAGAATGGTAGAAAGCATCTTTGTTTCTCAGCTGCAGATTTACTTCCCTCTGTCCTTAGCTTTCAGGAAAGGAGAAGATGAGGGTAGCTGTCATTTACAGCTTTCGAATCACAGAAGAGTTTTAAGATACTGGCAGGTAGACCCTTGACACCAGGATAGTCTCACGTAATCACTGACATAAAGTAGATCTAATCTCGTTATTCCTAACCTGTTTCTTTCTTTTTTTTTTTTATAACCACCTACGTTCCCTGTTAATTTTCTGCTCTTCACTTACCCAGGTCCCTTCTTTTAAATCCCTATTCTCTCCCACCCGCTGTGATTAGAATGACTTTGTATCCCAAATAAGTGCTTAAGTAATGTTTTCCATTTTTGTATTAGTCAAACTTTTACGTTCCAGTAGGAACTTTTGATTAACCTGCGAAAGCTATTGTTGCTATACTAAATTGCTATAATTTCCCCAAAGCAAAGAAACAAATGTTTTAGCCTGTGGAGCCGTTTTTATAGTTAAATATACAAATTTAGCTAAGGCTTCTTGAATCGTTGAGTTCTCGCGTTTACCCATTATTACCTTTTATCTGTCTAAAGAGCTACACCACTGTTCTAACATAACATGCCTTGTCTGTTTACATCCACATTCAATTCTTGAAAAAATAGAGACCATTTTTCCAATATTGCCATTTTTGTTGGAGATTCATGTTTTAAAAATTGTAGAGTTTGGAAATTTGCTAGAAGAACAAAATGTTAAACATATATTCCAAAAGCAGATGGTATAATTCAAACTAGCTCCTATTCTTTGAGCATTTAATTGCTGTCGTGTTCATTAGTGGGTGCTTTGAGGTACTCCTGACCTGTTATTACATTGCATGTTGTTAACCTGACATGTGAGGAGACTTTGTGTCCTTTGTTCACGTTTTCATTAATTCATTTTCTGCTTTTGTAATTTGCTGTGTCTTTTAGTTTGAAAAAGTTAAATATTCTTTTGGGAGGGAAAACATTTTTCTTTACACAGAATTTTATACTCGAAAATAGAACTTCTACCTTGTATGTAATATCTAAGAACGCTAAGTACACTTACAACAAGGTTTTGTCATAATAAGTGCTTGCATATTGTTTTGGACTGGACTGAAGTTTCACTTTCTACCACGAGAAAAAGGAAGCATGTGTTAAAATAAATCTAGCCAAAAATTAAAAATAATGTTTTGCACCCAGTCTCCTAACTGTTGTAAGTTACATCTTTATGATCCTCAGAGTTCTCTAGTGTTACGAAAACCTTCTTAAGTGTAGGCGTGACTTTTTGAGTACTACTGTCTAATTTTGAGGAGAGTTTCATTGTCCAGTACTAGCTAATAGTCACACATAGCAATTGAGGACTTGAAATGTGGCAGATATGAATTGAGATGTGCTGAAAGTGTAAAATGCACACCAGATTTTGAAAACTTAGTACAAAAAAGAAAAGAGTTTAAAACATCTCAAATTTTTTTTTTACATTGATTACCTGTTGAAATGATACTTTGGATAAATTAGGTTAAAGAAAAGATATTAAAATAAATTTCACCTGTTTTTCCCTTTTTTAATATGACTACCAGAAAATTTTAAATTACTTGTGGCTTGCATTATATTTCTGTTGGACAGTGTTGTTCTAGAGGATCTCTTCCAAGAAATAAATTATCTGAATTAAAAGAAGATACATAAAAATCAACAGTTTCCTGACAGAGTATCCTCTTAAAATCAGAATACTCCAAAGGTTTTGGTAATATGAAGAATAAAATTATCCAGTGACCATTATTTGGTAGGCAGAAAAAAGTTCTGTCTCAAAAATAAGTATTTTTCAAGTCTAGTCATCACTAAAGAAGCAAAACTTTATTTGGTTATATTAATTAAAATAGAAAATCATTTAATTATTGTTCTATTGGAAGACATTGAAAGTTAAAAACCTCATACTTAATAAAAAACTGAGTTCAACCCCATAGTGGGTTGAAGTAAACTTTAGTCAAAAATCTTTTTTAATTTTTACTAAAGTTACATAGCAGTCTTTAAGACTGCAATTCAGTTCCTATTGCTTCAATCCTTTTGATATGTTTAAATGCTTAGTTTTCAAGTTTTCAGATTATTTTCATTGGTTTTGTTTGTTTATAAGTTAAGATCTAAATTGTATTTAGGATGCTTTAATTACTATGTTTTCAAGTCCAAAAATAATTATTTTAAAGGTTTTCAAAAGAAGTACTGTTAAAAGTCCATTTCAGTAGTTTTTGTTGTTAATCCTCACCTGAGGATATTTTTTTCCATTGCTTTTCAGAGAGAGTGGGGTGGGGGGGAGAAAGGGGAGAGAGACATAGACTGGTTTCCTCCCGCAGGCACCCCATTTGGGCGGGGAGTGAACCTGCAACCCAGGTACCTGCCCTTGACTAGATACCAAACCCGAGACCCTTTTGTGTGTGGGCCAATGTTCTAACCATTGAGCAGTACCGGCCGGGGCCATTTCAGTAGCTTAAATTCTTCACGTGGGTGAACTAGAATGAAAACAATGAGTGTTTTAATTAACAGACCTGAGCCCTAACATGTACATCTTTATAAAATACTATATATATATGTATGTATGTGTCTGTGTGTGTATGTATATATATTTAACTTATACAGTAGTGAAAGAGGCATAAACTTTATTCTGGCATTTTAAAATCAGGTGCCATAGTCATAAACTAGCTGCATAATATCATGGCAGACTGTTATGAGAAAATGAAAGTACTTAGCTGGCATGCAGTTTGCTCTTAAAGCAGTTTGTGATTTGCATCGTATGAGAGATGTCTATTACTCTTTCTATTTATGAGTTAGTATTTGTAACAAGGAACTTATAGTCTGAAAAATTACTTGAGTAAAAACATGTTTAAGGTCCCACCTTTAATTTAGTGTTTCTCACTTGTATGCCTTATCTTTTTACTCTTCAATTTTAGTAACTAGTAACTGAAATTAGTTAATACAAATAATTTAATTAGAATGTTTTTCTTAAATAGGCTCTTTGCATATCTAGAATTGTGAGCTTTTTAATCCATTTTATCTCAACTTGAGATGTTTTGGGAGCATCTTTAGGATGAATACTTCAATATAACTGTAAATGTTATTAGCAATTTAGGTTTCCATAGATTCAAATAAGTTACTATAGAATGTAGTAATATAAATCTAGAAATTTTACACATTAATATATATTCTCAGCTTTCCATTGTTCATTAGATGCTTTTAAAAATTATAAAGACAATAGTCTCATCCTTCTTGACGATTATAAAAATATTTTCTAGGTAAATGTTTACAAAGTGCCTTTTTTAAAGAAATGAAAGTCCTATTTTGTAATTACTAATTAAACATTTTAATGGACCACATGGACTTGTGTGTTTTAGGTAAATTTTTATTTTGTCTTTATTGAGGAATCTAGAATTTATTGATAATGACACTGAAGAAAAACATATTAAAAAAATCAAATCATTCCTTATATATTATATAAGGAAAATTTAGTGCATAATTTTCCTGCCAGATAGTTAGAATCTGACACATAGCAGAAGGACAATTTGGCAGTTACTGTCAAAATTTTGGCAGAATTTGTTTTTTAAAGGTATTAAATTTCTACTAGAAATTCAAGTTTAATAATATTATAACATCTGGTGTTTGTAGACCTAGAAACACATAGGGGATATTATAACATAAAACCATCAAGTGTATTCTGGAATAATTTGAAACACTTCAAAGCTACTAAGCATAAATATGAAAAACAGCATTTTTATGTTTAGTTCAAAAATGAATGCTTCCCTTTCACACACTAACTTCAATGTAAAGCATTTTGGGATAGTCTTGGAAAACTATAAGGACAGAGTATTTGCTACTAATTTATGACTCAGTGGCCTGTTATCCCCTGACCCCCTGAATTAGCATTTCCAAATAGGTCACCGTTATTAAAAAAAAAAATAGATGCAGTGTCTTGTTTTGATAAATATTTTTCGGTTCAAGTTATTAACTGAATTAGGGCCCTCAGTAGTAGATTTAAGACAAAATTTATTCTTCCTTAGAGGCCCTTTCCTTGTATAATTCTGCAGCCTGGTAAGCTGAACATTAAAAATGTTAAATAGTTTCAGGGAGTGATGTGTTCGCCTACTTAGTGCTCATCTCTAAAGTTGGAAGCCAACTAACTGGTTTTAAGATTGATGGCATTAATAGGTGTGGCAATGTATATTAGATACATTCCATTAGAGTTGTTTGAGGAAAAGTTTGTATAGGGTGCTTTTTACATAGCAAGCTCTGTCATTTATTTTTACAAGATATTTTTTAAACCTTAGATTTTGTGATCATAAAAGCACAATAAAGGCTAATAAAATTCTTCATTTGCATGTGAGGATATTGGAGAATCAGTTATATACCTTTCTGTCCTAAATCTGACTTCATTTTTTTTAACATCTAATTTCTATGGAACTAATATATTTGGATTGGTAAACATTCTTATGAAATAAACCACTGGCTGTATAATTGCCCTAAATACCTAGTTTTCTTGTTCACCAGAGAGCCTTTGTCAGACTTATATAAGTTTAGTGTTGGAAGATACACGAAATTTGTGAACTGTAGAATGTTCAAGCTAGGTATCTAAAGATTTTAATTAGAGAACAGTATAGTTTTGATAATAAATATTTTACTAAAAATTACGGAACAAACATTTTGATCTTAGGAATAGGAAAATAAATCTTGCTGTTATTTTTCCATGTGGCTTTTAATCATACGCAAATATAATTTTTCTCACACTATAATAGCAAAAATAGAAATTTATATTTTGCATTTCTTTAAATTTAGAATTATTAGATGCTAACATTGTTTTGTTCTTCTAAAAAGTATTTTTTAAATTATTTTTTAATCCTCACCTGAGGCCTTGTTTTTCATTGACTCTAGAGAGAGAAGAAGGGGGAGAGAGAGAAAAAAGAATCGATGTGACAGAAACATGGATCAGTTGCCTCTTGTACATGTCCCAGCAGGGGATCAATCCTGCAATCTGGATATGTGCCCTGACTGGGAATCGAACCTGTGACCCTTAGGTGCATGGGATGATGCTCCAACCAACTGAGCCAACTGGCCCCAGCTGTTTTATTGTTCTGTATTTTGCTCATTGGATCTGACAGTTTTTGGTAATATATGCTTATCTATCACTAAATGATTTGTCAAAAGTATTGTAGGAATCACATTCAAGGTTTGTAAGACAGTATTTTCTTTCTTTTTCACTTCGGAAGTGTATTTTGAGGTTAGCATCTTTCATTTGTGGATGAACAGCTCTGTCGTCACAGTCGTCTTTTACACCTTTATTTTCAGTACCTCAGTTAGCCTTCTAATCAAGTCCTGACCAGAGATTTCCTCTTTTGTGAAGCTGTCAAGTTGAACATATATCCTTGACTGATGTGGTCATTCAGGTGGCAAAGCTGTTTCTTTTTGTTTCTTTTTTAAAATATATCTTTATTGATTTCAGAGAGAGGGAGGGAGAGAGAGAGAAACATCAATGATGAGAGAGTCTTTGATCCGCTGCCTCCTGCATTCCACCAACTGGGGATCAAGCCCGGGTATGTGCCCTGACCAGGAATCAAACTGATATCTTGGATCGTAGGTTCAGGCTCAACCGCTGAGCCACGCCCAGCTGGTGCAAAGCTGTTTCTTAACACTTGACTCACTATGATACTGTTCCGATCAATGGTTTCCAGAGTTCACTGGCTCTTAGGCTAGATCTTAATATGTTTTGGGGTGGTACATACCCATGGGAAACACTTTTAAAAAAAAATCAGGAATCCAAATTAATTTGTGTTTTTCTAAAAATGAAATGTGGAACGTTAATCTGCTCACTTGATGTGGTCATTAAGAAAAATAGATGAAAGCTTTGATGATTGTTATATTAGCAACCACTATAAATATGTTTAGTTGAAAGGAACACTATTAGAATAATGTTTCTGGACAAAATTTCAGAAATTTAATTCAGCAAATAGCCTTAAAGAAAAAGACATCCCAAACATATAAAGTTATTCAGAAATGTTTTAGGTTTTGAGGCTATGGTGGTTGACTTTACAGTTAGCTCTTAAAAGGTGAATGATGAATACATGGTTAAATCTTACTTTTGTCCATTTCCAGCTTACAAAACACTACACAGCAAAATAATGACCTGCTAGACTGCTAACCCAAGCATCCAGCTTCCACAATGCCTGTGCAGGCAGCTCAATGGACAGAATTTCTGTCCTGTCCAATCTGCTATAATGAATTTGATGAGAATGTGCACAAACCCATCAGTTTAGGTTGTTCACACACTGTTTGCAAGACCTGCTTGAATAAACTTCACCGAAAAGCTTGTCCTTTTGACCAGACTGCCATCAACACAGACATTGATGTGCTTCCTGTCAACTTTGCACTTCTCCAGTTAGTTGGAGCCCAGGTAAGAGTTCAAGAGTTTACTAATAATTATAGAACTTTGTTCATTAAGGGGCACAAAGTATGTTTAATGATATTTGAGACATAAAAAAATATTCAGTGTACCTGATTTTCATGATCATATTCTGTAAAAATTTTTCTTTAAATAATGTCATAAATCCTTATGCAAAGCCATAATTTTATTATGGTTATGTTTATGTTCAGTGCTATGGCCAAAATTTGTATTTGTATATAATCATTTTATTGAATCAGAGAAAAACCCTAGATTTATAGTAATTTTCATTTAATGAGGGCCTACTTTGTGTAGGTATGATGGTAAATATTCAACATATATTATTATTAATTCTTGCTGTCGCTTTTCAGGTAGTTATTATCCCCATTTTACAGGTGAGGAAGAAGATTCTGTACATCATGCATTACATATTAAAGCAAGAAAGTAAGGATTTTTCTGATCAATCACTTCTTAGAAAATTCAGTGAATTAAAATACCCCATTCCGTAGTATCTTCATAGTTGAAGTTTTCCTTTTAAAGCACAGCATTTCTTTTCAATGTTCATATCCAGTTAGACACTCTGAAATCAAGATGCATCTGTAATCAATAATGTGTCATAATTTAAATGGCAGCATTTTTTTCTTAATGGTGCCTCTTGCAAACAATGGCATCTTAGACCCAATAAAATACCGTAGACTTTTTCTAATAATACTAGCTGCCATTTATTTAGCATCTGCTATAGGTCAGGTATTCTGTTTGTCTTTTAAATAAATGTTCTTTTAGTTGGTCCTTAAAAAAGCCTGCAGGCTTATACAGTGTGACTTATATTATCTTTTCAAGCTCATCCACTACTACCGTCCTCACTCTTTCTGCTTAAGCCACACTGCCTCCCAGTCAGTTGTTAAATATGACAGAAGTATTCCCACCTGAGGGCTTTTGTAATGACTCTTATCTTTGCCTAGAATGCTCATTCCTTCTCTCTCTCTTTTTTTTTAATATATCTTTATTGATTTCAGAGAGAGAGCAAGGGAGAGGGGGAGAGAGATAGAAACATCAGTGATGAGTCATTGATCGGCTTCCTCCTGCGAACCCCCACCAGGGATTGAGCCCTCAACCTGGGCATGTGCCCTGACCGGGAATCAAACTTCGATCTCCTGGATCCTATGTGGATGCTCAACCTCTGAGCCATGCCTGCTGGCCCCTTCTCTTTTAAGTCTTTTTTCAAATGTTCTGATTTCCAAGGAAGCCTATCCTGACAATCCACCTTAAAATTGCAACCTCTCTCCAGTATTCCCAATTCCCCTTATTCTTGTTGTATAATTTTTACTGATCACCTTCCATCATACTATGTTTTTTATTTATGTTTTTTAAAATTTATTGGCTGCCTTTTCTTCACTAGAATGTAAGCTCCACAAAGGCAAAAAATTTTGTCTGTTTAGCACACTGATAGAGGCCTAGTGCCTAAAACTGTGCTTGGCACCTGGTAAGCACTCCATAAATATAAATATTTGTTGAATTAAATTGAATTTTTATAATGGCACAGTGAAATAGGGATTTTCATTTTCATTTTGCAGATAGGGATGCCATGACTTGGAGCAGTTAAATAATTTACTCAAGATCACTTGTAGAAATGACAGAGCTGCAGTTTTGACCTTTCATTGATAACACTGTGTCTTGTGGTACTTATATTCTAGTAAGGGGGGGCAGTAAATATAGTAAGTACATTATATAGTAAGAAGGTACTAAGTGCTAAGGGGAAAAAAAATTCTTGTCCTTTTTTCCTGCTTTTTGTTTTGAAATACTTTTAGAAAAAGTTGCAAAACATCCAGAGAAGCTGTATAACTTTCTGCAGCTTCCCCTAATATTAACATCTTTCAAAATTATGACATAGTTTTCAACCCCAAGAAATTAACATTGATACAATACTGTTAATTGCCTGCTTTTTTTCATTCATTAATCCACCCAACCCCTGCTATTAATATGATATTCTTGATTCTCAGAAAGCAGATTTACTAGGTGTTTAGCTTTAATTTTATTTAAACTACCTCGATGTATGTCTCTGTGTTATAATTTTATACTCACCAAGATTATCATCAAATATATACAGTTTGTAAGCTGGATGAATGTCTTTCTTCCATTTTTTGTTTGTTTTCAGGTACCAGACCATCAGTCAGTAAAGTTAAGTAATGTAGGGGAGAGCAAGCACTACGAAGTTGCAAAGAAGTGTGTTGAGGATTTGGCGCTCTACTTAAAACCGCTCAGTGGGGGTAAAGGTACGTCCCCAGAAAGTGAGGTGGCCTTGCTATAATACGTCTACTGTGACACATGTGATGTTGATACCCTACTAAAACATTTTGAGTTCTGGAAACTGAGTTTTCTTGGAGAGATCTTGGAAAACCTTTTGATTGAAAACATTTATTATACTATTTTCTAAAAATAACCAGTATTGTTACTAATTTAAGAATTCATTAGACATACAACATATTGAGCTTTATGTAATATTTGTATTGATTGATTAAACTAATAGTGCTAGAGCAGAATATTAGTTTTGATAAGTCCTATTAAGACAATTTTATGTGTTCATGTGTTCATTCAATCATTCATTAAATTTTATTGAGCACTTACAGTGGTTATGGTCCCTGTCTTCATGGAGCCTGCAGTCTTGTGGGGGTGATAGGATGTAAATGCAGTAAATTATTTTAAATGCTGTGACAGAAGTGCAAATCTGTTTTATTACTGCATATCCAGTGGTTAGCACATCATAGATGTAATAAAATATTGAATGAATAAATCAATCAGGTATTTATTTTGTTCCTGTTCTGTGCTTTGCACTGTGTGATATTTTGGACGTAGTGACTTTTTTCAGAGACTTGCCCTACCCGCCTCATTCATTCATTGAACAGATATCTAAAGAGCATGTAGTACCAGGCACTATTTTGGTACTTGGGATACATGAGCAAATATGCATACCCTTGTAGCACTTACGTTTAAAAAAGGAAGAAAGTATAATAATAAGTATAATAAAAAAGTAAATTATGTAGTATGTTATAAATGATCATTGCTATGGAAATAATACATTTAGGGGGACTGGAAATGTCAGGGTGAGGGGAGAAGGGCAGATTGCAATTTGAAATAAGGTGATGAGTGTAGGCCTCAGTAAGAACGTAGCTTTTGAACTTGAAATGAAAGAGGTGAGGTAGTTAGCTACATAGGTTCCTGGGAAAAGACTGTTCCAGGCAGATGAAATAGCAGAGCCCCCAGGGCATGTGTAGTATCTTCAAAGAACAACAACAGGAGAGTTGTGAGTGAAGGGGAGAATAATGACATAGATGCAAAGAAACAGGCCAGATGATGGTTAGACTTATAGGCCACATTAAAGACATGCACTTTTACTCTGAGTGAAAACAGGAGTCACTCCAGGGTTTTGAGCAGAGGAGTGACACTATCTGACTAATGTTAAAAGGATCATTCTGGCTTCTCTATTGAGAATTTAGCATAAAAGGGCAAGAGTTAATAATCAGTGGAGACTGTGAGTGAGATGTGGATATATTTTGAAGGTAGGGCCAAGAGGCTTTCCTAAATTATTGGATATTGGGTGTGAGAGAAAGAGTGGAGTCAAGTATGACTCTTGGTTTGGGGCCTGAGTACAAGAAAAGAGAGGCTGTCATAAGTTCAGATAAGGGATACTGTAGGTAGAACAGGTTTAGGTAGGAAGACCCGGAGTCTGGTTTTGGCCATGTTAAGTTTGAGATGACAAATCTTCACTCGAATGCTATTGAGTAACTGGTGGATATATGTTAAGGGTTGAGGTATAGGAACTGTAACTTTGGGGAGTCATTGACATATAGATGGTATTTCATGCAATAAGACTAGATGAGATCACCTAAGTAGTGAGTATAGATAGAGAAGAAATTGAAACCTGGGTCCTGAGGCCCTTTAACATTAAGAAGACTGGAAGAAAAGATAAAATCAGAAAATGAAACTGAAAAAAAAAAGAAGAAAGTAAGAAATCTAAGAGAATGCGGGTGTTCGGGAAGCCATGTAAAGAAAAGTATTTAAAGAAGTTAGTGATACCTGTGTTGAGTGCTGTTGAACGGTCAAGTAAGATAAGGATTGAGAATTGACCATTGATTTAGCAAAGTAGAGAAAATTGTCCTGTCCATCAGTTTTATCAAGTGATAGTGGCAAAAACTTGATTGGAAGGTAAAGAAAGGAATTGGAGATAGTGAATATAGGCATTGTAGAGGATTTGCTACAAAAGGAAGGAAAGAAATGGAGAAGAGGGATAAATAGATTTATTTTTTAAATGGATGAAATACAGCTTGTTTGTTCTTATTAATGCTGATGGAAATAATCAAGTGGGAAGGGAAAAATTGATGATATGGGCGAGAGACAAGAAGTGCTGGAGCAATATCCTTGAGTCGGGAAAAGGGATTAGGATCTAAGATCTTGTTACTAAGTTGTATTCTTAATGTCTTGTATATAATAAAAAAAATTAGAGTTGTTAATAATCATTACTTTTAACTTTTCATTCACTCAACTTTATATTTACCTTCAGTAATTTTAGTAAAGAGACTAAATAAACAGACTAAACCAAAGGTACTGTCTTTTGAGGAACACATATAACCCAGAGAACAGGATACCTAAATAAAATTTGAAGCAACTAAAAATTAGGCTCCTATTACTAGTGAGTAGTAATAAATAGAGACAAATTGATTTTAAAAGAATGACACAAGGAAATTACCGTATAGCAGACTCATTAGGAATTGTGGCTTAATAGCTAAATACAGATAATAAAAATTGGCTTGTCTTTTTTAATTTGAAAAAACTTTAGTTTTCTTTGTTTCCTTTTTCCTAAAGGTGTAGCTAGTTTGAACCAGAGTGCACTGAGCCGTCCAATGCAAAGGAAACTGGTGACACTTGTAAATTGTCAACTGGTAGAGGAAGAAGGTCGTGTAAGAGCCATGCGAGCAGCCCGTTCACTTGGAGAAAGAACTGTAACGGAACTAATATTACAGCACCAGAACCCTCAACAATTGTCTGCCAACTTATGGGCTGCTGTCAGGGCTCGAGGATGCCAGTTTCTAGGGCCAGGTAAGATAGATCACTATCTTGCCTTTCTTATTGGTTATCAGGGCTAGAGGATGCCAATTTCTAGAGGTAGGTGAGAATCCCCAGACTCAACCCATCTTTATTATACATGCAAGGCTTGGCATAGTTAAAGATAAACAAGCCAGTTTTTGTTGATCATAATCTGTATGATCGACAGTGCTGTAGTGTTTTAGAATAAATTTTTCATTTAACCCTCAGTGTCCTTCAAAAGAGGTGACACAGATCCAATTTTACAAACTAGAAACCTGAGTTAGAGAGAGGCCTAAGATTACATAAGTGGTAAGTAAAGGAAAAGTAAACCTTTTTAAAAATGAAAAACAAATAAAAAACTCTTGATTGTTTTTAAAAGTTGGAAAACATAGAAATTATTTAAAAAAAAAAAAATCATCAGGGGATGATTTCTTTATGCTAACTACCATTTACCTTATGTTTAAAAAATCTTTTAAGGTTATGGCTTACTTTCCTGTGTTATCTTCTGAAAATTTATTGTTTTACCTTTCTGATTTAGAATTACAGTCCAAGTAGAGTTTGTTTTTGAGAAGGAAACCTTTTTTAATAAGTTGCATTTGGATAAATGAATAGATATGGAAAAAGATGAAATTGGATGAATTCCTTATAGTCTATAGGTCCATAAATTCCAAATAAATCAGAAGTACTTATGATTAAAAAATAAAGTATACAAGTAATAAAAACAAACACAAGAGTGAATGCCTTTATAATGTAGAAGTAGAAAACGTTTTTGACTCCAAATCCAGAAGCTATAGCGGAAAAGATTGATATTTGACTATATAATTTTTTAAAAAGTACATCACCAAAAAAGTTAAAGTTTAAAATTAAATGGCAAACTTTGGGAAATATTTGTATTATCACATATAAAGCACTAATACAACTAATACAGAAGATACTTCTAAAAATTCAAAAATACCAACCACCCAGTTGAAAACTTGACAAAAGATGTATAACAGACAATTCATAGGAAAAAGTAATGTAAATAGCCTCAAATATAAAAAGATACTGATATTGCTCACTGATATTAAGAGAAATATACATTAATATTATACTGAAATACCATTTCTCACATGTCAAATTGGCAGAATACAAAAGTTTGACAATATATGCTGTTGTCAGGGCTGTGGAAAACAGGTACTTTCATCCAATACTGGTGGGAATGCAAAGTGGTACAAACTTTAGAGGAATTTGGCAGTATCTAGCAAAATCACCTATGTATTTATTTCTTGGGCCCAACCACCCTATTTTCAGGAATCTATCCCAAAGATACAGCAAAAAATACAGGATGCATAAAGTTAGAAAACACTATTTAAAACAGCAAACAGCCTGGCCAGGCATGGCTCAGTGGTTGAGCGTCGACCTAGGATCCAGGCGATCAGGGTTCAATTCCTGGTCAGGGCACATGCCCAGGTTGTGGGCTCGATCCCCAGTCGGGGACTTGCAGGAGGCAGCCGATCAATGACCCTCTCATCATTTATGTTTCTCTCTCTCTCTCTCCCTCTCCTTTCCTCTCTCTGAAATCAATAAAGATATATTAAAAAAAACAACACAGCAAACATCTGAAGTCATCTGAATGTCTATGAATAGGAGACTGGTTTAATAACCTGCTATATCTTTCTAATGGAGTCCCATGCAACTTTCGAAAGGAATGACGAAGGTGTATATATTCTGCCAGGGTGTGATCTCTAGATATATTAAGTTAAAAAATAAAAGCAAGGTGCAGAATAATATGCTTATTGTAGTACCTTTTTTATCTAAGGAAGGGGGAGAGAGACAGCCATTACCTTATTTGTTTATATTTTCCAAAAGGAACAATGGTAGACAAGGTTATAAATAACAAACTCATGTAGAAGAGGAAGAAACCAGGAGAAAGCAGACAGGGACAGAAGCTAGACCTCACTGAATGTGCCCTGTTTTGTACTTGAGACCCTTATAAATAATTCCAAATTTACTGAAAAGTTGCAAGAATAATACAGAAGCCCTGGTTGGCTGGCTCAGCTGGTTAGAATGTTGTTGATATGCCAAGGTTGCAGGTTCAATCCCTGTTCAGGGCACAAACAAGAATCAACCAATGAATGCATAAGTAGATGGAACAACAAATCAACATTTCTCTCTCTCTCCTTCCCTTCTCCCCCTCCCTCTCTCCCTTTCTCTCTCTCTCTTTAAAATCAATAAATTTAAAACAGTAATGCAGAGAATTCCTGTGTACTCTTTATCCACACTGACTAGTTTTAATTTGCTATATTTGTTATATTGTTCGCGCTCTCTCTCTCTTACGAACCATTTGAAAGTAGGTTGCGTATTTCATGCCCCTTTACCCATTAATCCTTAAGTGTGTTTCGTAGAAACAGAGATACTCTGATATAACAGTCCATCAGTTTCAAAAAAATTTAACATAGATATAATACTACAATGGTTTATATTCCAGTTTTGTCAATTATTCCAAAAATGTCTTTTATGGCATTTATTTTCTTCCATTTATTCTCTAAAGGTTTCCCTGGCTAGAAAACAACATAAGTTAATTCTTTAGATATTGCACCTAGAGGCTAATATCACTTTAAAATTATATACAAAATAGTTCTGACAGGCAGAGTAACAGTTTCATACATTAAAAAATTACCATTTATCATAAGACTGCTGTGTGTCTTTTACATGTTATTTAATTGTCAGAGTAGGTGTGTGTGTTTTATAAATGACTTTTTATTTTCACTTTAACATTATCATTATCTAGTTGATTATTGAACACCTACAGAAGATATATGTTAAGTTCTGTTGACTTGTGTTCTGGTTGGTTGGTTAATAGGAAGTATGTTTTCCTTTGTTTGATTGCAGTAGTCCCGGAACCTTATCTGTGGTTTCTTTTTCTGCAGTTTTTGTTACCTAAAAATGTTAAATAGAAAATTCCAGAAATAAAGTTTTAAATTGCACGTTGTTCTGAGTAGCATGATGAAATCTCATGCCATTGTGAATCATTCCTTTGTCCAGCATATCCACACTTTATACTTTATCCGCCCATTAGTCACTTAGTAGCCGTCTTGGTTATTAGATAGATATGTCTCACTGCTTGTGTTCAGTTAACCCTTATAGTAGACTGACATTAAGCCACAATGCCTATGTCATTCACCTCACTTCATCTCATCATGTAGGTATTGTATCATCTCATATCTTCATAAAAATCATGAGTACAGTACAGTAAGATACTTTGAGAAAGAGACCACATTCACAAAACTTTTATTACAGTATATTATATAATTGTTCTGTTTTTAGTTACTGTTAATCTCTTACTGTGTCTAATTTATAAATTAAACTTTATCATAATTATGTATGTACAGCAGGTTCTCGAATAACATTTGGTTCAACATCGTTTTATTATTATATAACGTTGATGAGATGCTGTAGGAACTTAGCTCTTGATTGTATCAATTAGTCTGTGGTAAAATTGGTTTCATTGTAGGTTGTTTTGCTTAAAGTTGCAAAACGTATTGACAGTGTTAAATGATGACTTACTGTTCAGGAAAAAACATACTATACAGGGTTGGCAAAAGTAGATTTACAGTTGTATTAATGATACAATAATTAATAAATAAATAATACAAGAATAAGCTCTCACCCAACCAGAGTGGCTGAGTTGGTTGAGCATCATCCTGTGCACCCAAAGGTTGCTAGTCAATCCCCGGTTGGGGTACGCACAGTATGGAAGGCAACCGATTGATGTTTCTCTCTCACGTAGGTCTCCCTCC